GCGAAAGTTCCGGCCGGATCGTCTGGAATTTCGGGAAGACGCGAACGATTCTGAGGCTTCGTCACCGAGGCGCGTGGCCCCATCGTTCCTTGTTAAAACTTTTTTCTCCCCCTCCCCCGCGAACTTCTCTGTTCGCCGTTAATTATCGTCCCCGGCGCTGATATTTGCATTCGTCCGCGATTCCGCCGAGAAAATGTAATTTTCCTTCGGTAAACCTCCCCTTTCTCGCGACTTTCTTTCTTTCTTCGCGCTCCCCTCTCGAGCACATCCTTCAGGATTTATATTCGCAACGAGACGCGACTCGTCAATTTTTGGCTTATTTCCTCGACACACCTTGCGCGCATTGCCCCCGCTGTGACCGATCCTGATCGCCGCTTGAAAATTAATCGAAATAGCCATCTTTGATCTTCAAATAGGTGTATTTTACATTCGTTGTAAGATAGAAATTAGTAGCAAATATATCGTTATCGTCCATATTTGCGACGTAGTTAGAATTATGTTGAAAGCATTGGTACAACATTTCATCTGCAATTCCAGATGTTGAAACTTTAGAAGGAAATATCAAAGAAATACCGCCATTTTGTGTTCTATCATTGTATTCATCACGTAGATTCTATAATTGTGCAGTTATAAAGAAATCATAAAAGAACAATAAAATTGTAAAATTTAAAGAATAATACTTAAAAAGTATTTAAAAAAAAAGTATTTAAAAGTACATACATGTTAAAAAGATCTAGTTTATATTGTATTCTCGTTATATCGTAATTGTGAAATAAAATACGAGAAAAATTATTCGGCGTTCAACAACATTCGGCAAGTAAAAATATTCAGAAACTTTCTGAATATTTAATTTACATTGTATTGTGTTTAATTTAATTTATATTGTACTCTCGTTATATCGTATCGTATTTTAATTGTGAAATAAAATACGGGAATAATTATTCGGGGTCCAACAACATTCAACAAGTAAAATTATTCAGAAACTTTCTTTTAAACTGCTTCAACTTGAGTAAAAGTAGGTGGTCTCAGTCTTTCTCGTTGTTTCAATTGCACGATGCTTTTTTTTTTTTTTTTTAATTAGAGTTGCAAACTGCGCCAACTAACCATCGCCTTGCCATTCTTTGTTACAGACAGAGAATCGGAAAGATGCTGGTAGAAGTGTTTCGCACTGCCGCCAACAATGGGACGAGGCTTAACGTCAACGAAGTCATGCAGTTGGTGCAACAGATCGTCGAAGATCCTGGTAAGTTGGAAACTCATTTCTGCATTAATTATCGGATGATGTAATATCTACAAAATGCGAACGATACAGTTAAAAACGTGTATTCGCGCCGTCATTCATCTATTTTTTTAAAGGGTTCAGTGTTTGGAAAATCACTGTAATGTCCCCAATCCTGTTTCGGTGGTTCGTGTCGTGACTTTCTAAAATCGGAGGTGTTGAATTTGGCAATTGCTCTCCATCGAAAATAAACGATTGAAGCACGTATTATTTATCAAATCTCCATCACGCACGGTTACTTCAATTTTAAAATATGCACGTAATTAGCGTTTATGCACTCTTCTTTATTTTGCAACTTAGCAATATATACAAACGAGAGGATTGGAAATAGTTTAGAGCCAAATCCTTGACGTATTTGCTTGCGCACGACTTTACTGCGAGATATCCTGTCTTTTCTCATGCTTTTTAAAAATACCTTTGTAGCGCTACTCGTTCTCCTTTGGTTCCCGATTCGTTCTGTTTGCCGACTTTCGTCGTGAAATCAGATCTCGCGAGCATATCTTTCCAATAGACGAAATAATAAATTTCATTCTTTGATGCACGAAGTTTTATTTATAAACACTTTGCACTGGATATACAGCCTTAATATACGATTGTCGAAAGTGTAATCGACTTGTAACTTTGTCACTTTTGTCAGAAAGCTAAGTGTTCTATGTTACATGCAAACTTTAATTGTCAGTTTATTGTATTGGATGAAAATTCTGTCCTTCGGGCAACGAGAAATATCGACAATTTGTACGTTGCCACGACGCCTGAGAAATCGTTAATCGTCATTCTTAACATTACAAGTACCAGCGATTGATATGTGTGTGTACTTACAAAGTACTTAGAAAACGTAAAGAACCACAATAAATTTACAGTAGCGTAGGAAACACGAGCTTTTTAAGAAGCTACAAAAAAAAAAAAAATTACAAATTAATTGTTTCCACTGCTCTGCTAGTTTTAATGTTTTGATCTTACAGCATCCTTAATTATCCGTCTACCAATAATCACACCATAGCAGAAACCTTCCTTCCAAAAGGAAAAGAAAAATCAAAATGAAATTCTTGCAAACTAAATTTACCCTCGCGACCAAACCTACCCAAACGTTTCGACTTCGGAAAGCTTTTATTTGCGTCTCGCAATATTTACTAATCGTGAAGAACGAGACGTTGCTAACTCGACAATGAGAAATCGAAATACGTGACGTTTCTAGCGTATCGCCCCCGGGGAGAAAATTCCTTTTTAGGCGGTTCGCCATTTGTTTATCGGGGCTTGGCCCCGTTTCTTTGGACGAGAGACACGGGAGAAACTTAAAAATAGAAGGATCAGGACGCGTTCTTGAGAGAAGACAGAACGTGTTCCGCGGTCGAGGTAAATGAAGAGCCAAGCCAGTTGGGGTTGCAGACGAGGGAAGCTGTTGCTTCATACTAGGTGACGACAAGATTGTCCCCGCTTCCGGTGTAGCACACGCGCCTCGCCGGAAGTTTATCGTGGTTTCCCTGCGTCTCGAAGTATTTATACAAGAAAGGACGCCCGGTACAATTTGCTTTCTCGTCTAACCCACTTCCACGTTTTACACGAACATTTCTCAAAACGAAACACGCCTCGTTCTAGCGACGAATGTCACACTGTTCGTTGTTCAAAATTATCTTCACTGTGTCCCTGAGATTTCAGGGATTGTTTCAGGGAAAGGTTACGTTATATACCTACTTGTGACTTAGGTGAAACGAGAAACACGTGTTCTACACGACGGAACGGACGAGGCATTTAATCGTTTGAAATTGTCCACATTGTCCGCAATATTAATGAACGTAGCTCGGTTTCGTCAGAGGTTCAAAAACTGCAATTAAAGAAAGTCAGATCTCTGAGAAAGTTAGCGAAGCTTAAAAAAGGATAAGGAAACCTCTATCTAAGTACTTACTAACTCGTTTGGCACTGCTTATATATATTTGTAAATTTATACTTATACATTTGGAATTCTTATGTTTGGCCAGAAACATTTTGCCAGAGATAGAGCAGTGAGGATTACCTTACCGTATAAAATTAGATGAAAATTTGGAAAAATCGATTTCTCTTTGCCTCCCTTCTGCGAAGATCAAGACCTACGTTTCTGGTCGGAGGTAGTTTCGCAAAGGTCATTCCGTGACGTACTGTCGATGAGTATCTCTGAGGTGAAACGTCAAACGTTTCGCTAACGAAACCTGAAGAACGGAAGCAAGAGGGACAGAGAAGAATGAGAAGAAGGAGAGGAGGAGCCACCTTTGAAAAAGCAGCAGCAACAACGACCAGTATCGGGTCGACAGCGATCCTTCCACGAAAAACGTTTTCTTTTTACCTGGACTGATTCGGGGAAACGTGGAAAATGACGCGCCACTGCGTTTTCATCCCACTAATGGGCTCCTTTCTTTTCCCAAGCCTTCGGAAATACTTTAAGAACCGTCCTCTGCGGGGCAGACCTCCGTCACGTGAAACAAACGCGGCTCGCCTCCTTTCTTTTATATTTCCGTGCCGCCACCTATCGCGTCCCTCTTAATACGTGACCCCGCGACGACAGAGCGAATCGTGTACGAATTGCAAATAAACTCTCGATCGTTGTACACATTTCAGGGCGTCGTCGGCGTAGTTTTATGAGACAAGCAGGTAAATACAATGCTCGTCGACGAAATTGCGACAGTTTAACACTAAACGTACCGGCATCTTACATATACCTATCTTACTATAAGGGGTCTTAAATGCGATACATAAGGTATACAAAGAATTTTTCTCAGTAAAAAATAAGCTAAGAGAAGAACAGAAAATAAGAATTTACAAAAAGTCAGATTAGCGAAAGAAATAACAACGAATGTACGATTTCAAAGTAAACTTTGAAAAGCGGATCCCCGCTTGGTACGTTTAGTGTTAAAGTTTGGGATTTTGTTGTTACTACACAGTTTTGTACATTTGAAGGAAAGGTTTATGCTTCTTGTTAACAATTTAATCGAAAGATATGATTTTGCTTGAAATGTACTAGTCAAACGTAAGAAGATTAGACAATGAATTATCCACTTATGGCAACGCACGTGGTATTGTAATATTAAAAAAAAGAAGTGAGATTGATCAGTGTCTCATCTTGTGAATTAACTAACTAATTGTAGTTTCCAATTACTATCTGCAATTACTCAAAGGTTTTATAGAATTTCCACTATCTGAAGTAACTAACAATCATCTACACTTTGATATAAATTACAGTCGTAACTTGGATTTTCACATCATCTGCCGAAAATTTAGAAAATGTTTATGGAAATACCGGGAAATATCGGAAACAAAGTTACTTGTTATAATATTTATTAAATGACATGTATAATAATAATAATGGCAGTA